TGTATATAAGGGCAAACTGCATTGAAAATATGTGCAGATGGTCTGCGAGGCTCTTTGACAGACTGGCTGCCACATGTCAGCAGAGGACTGGGCTTGTGCCTCACCCAGCAAGACAGGACACATCTCAGGCCTTCAGAGTCTTGGAAATGGTCAGAACTCAAGGGTCCATTGGAATGCACACACAGATTCCTATTGAATTGGAATATCGGCTATTCACTCTGTGTTTAAGAATACTCAGCATTGAGGTTCACTAATACCCATCACGGAGGTTCTATGTGCCCTCCTTGGTCCCCTGTGTCCCTGGACCCAAGGTGTGCCTGCCCTCTGCATGAAGCACCCAGATCTCTGTGAAGCAAGAGTCTGCCGAGTCCAGGAAAGCATAGGACCCAGAGGCTGGCACTCGGGCTGAAGCTCACACTCAGAGCCATGTGCAGGACCAAACAGGTGATTAAAAATGAGAGCACTGGGCTGGACCCAGGCTGAACTCAGGAACAGGCAGCAACAACACATTTCCAGTAATGAGAGTCTGCCAGAGACACAGCACTGTCACTTTCCTCCTGCCACCTCGGGAGTTAAGTCTAGGCAGGTCTCAGTGCCCACAGCAGCGCCCCGAACTGCATCCCAAAGAGGGGATCAGAGAGGAAGCACTTTGGTTTTTTTCACAGCTCTTATTTATGTGTTCTTATGGCATGCACTGTCCTGTTTTCATGGTTTTGTTGAAGTTCCAGGTAGAACAGGCTAATGCACATTAAGACTGAAAGCAGAATGTTAAATGGCGTCATAGACACATCAGAAAAGGACAGCTTAGAGATTATCTGAGTCAACCTTGTGCAAAAACTTGCTAAAAATGAGACCCTAACAATGTTATATGGCAGCCTGCAAAGGCTGGCTTTGGGTTCCAGAAGAAAATGTGTGTATGTGTGTGTTGTTTGTGTGTGTGTGTATAGATGTGTGTATGTTGGTATATGTGTATGTGTAGATATATGTATATACAGAGACTATATAAGGTGAATATGTACATTTGCATTTATATATAAGTATTTAAATACATAAACATATATATATACACAAAGTGTATGTGTGTGGGGGTGCATATATATGTATATGCAGAGAGAGAGTATACAAAGTGAATAGGTACATTAGTATTTATATGTAAATATATACAGTGTATATATACGTAAGGTATGTGGGGGTATATATGTGCGTGCATATATTTAATACATATATATACATACACAGAGTATATTAGGTATATATACATATGTTAATATATGGTATATATGTATGTGTGTATATATATGTATATTTACACAAAGAGTATGGTGAATATATATTATATAAATATATAAGGTGTGTGTGTGTATATGTATATGGTGCATGTGCGTGTGTGTGTATCCGGATTTGCTACTGTCTAATGAATAAACAGATCTGGATTTGAAACACAATGGTGTATATGAACGCTAGCAGAAAAAGCCCATCAAATTTCTCCCACACTGGGGCACTGCAGAGTCATTCCCTTCTCGAATGTTCTCCCTGGCACTTGTGTTTCTTTCCTTGCTGACCTCTGCCTAGTTGCAGATAGAGATGGATTTTGACAGAACCAGGAAGAGTTGTTCTATCTCCATGGCAACGTCAATTCACATTCTGCAGGTACATTGGCCGCCACTGCCTAAATGAAGGCTCCTGAAGGCTCTGTGTGTTGCCGTGCCTGGCCAAAAATAACTTGGCATGCCACCGTTCCTCACAGCCCCATGGAGAGAGGCATTAAACTGACTGGATGCCAACTGTCAACTCTGTTCCCGTCTTCCTGCTAAAGAGGAAGAAACAGGAACTGCCAGTGTTTGGGGGAGGGGAGCCAGTGAGGCTGCTACGTTGTTCCCATGGTCTGAGAAATATCCCTTTCCTCTGTTGAATGGAACATGAAATACATTCTAACTTGTTCACCCCGGGGGCACCAGATAATTTGTATTTCATCAGAAGTATTATAATTACATAGTTTAGAGTTAGAATTAATTAGCATTTGGGGAAGTAGTGATAAAACCAAGCAGTTATTAAAAAATTAATTTTAATAGAGGTCAGTTTGGAGCGAGTACTTGGTTTTCTTTTGAAAGATCTGTGTGTGTGTGTGTGTGTGTGTGTGTGTGTGTGTGTGTGTGTGTGTGTGGTGGGGGAGATAAAAAATAAAATTATTAAATGATCCTTTAATCAACCTGAAATGTGAACCACCTTATTAGATGCTACCACTAGATGTTAAAATCCAAATCAGCAGCACACATGCAGAACATATTTCAAAAGAAGTCAAGAGTTAGGTGAGTCTTTGAGGGTTATCTATGAAGAAAAAGAAAGTTTTGTAGTATCCTTTAAAAAGTATATCATGTTCCCAAGAATATGGGTCATAGCAACCTTCTTGATGTTAAACATAGTCAAGAATGATTTAATATACTATACTAGACACATGAGATACTTAATAATAATTAAATATTGTCTGAGGAATAATTTTTGAAATCAGTTAACATTGCCTATGAGTGTACTGAGTGTGAAGCTCTCCTTGGAGGGCTTGCGCACCCGGGAATGAAGTCGAATATTTGCCCTTGTGAAGCTTTTACTTTGTTGTGAGTGAGGAGTCAGAAAAGATTGTAATTTTTAAAAGTATTTTTACCTTCAATTGGAGTTTTACAATACTCCTCTAAGTCTTTCAAATCAAAGACCATCACAGTTAAATTTTAATTTTTTTCTGAAATTGATCACCGTTCCGTGGTTGTATAAAAGACCCTCCTTGTTCTCAGAGGATAATGTTGAAACCTTTGGGGAGAAAGATACATCATGTATGCAACTTACTCTCCAATTGTTCAGCAGCAACAATAATTGTTTTCATTAGAATGAGAAAAAGGGAAAGCAATGGAGAAAATGAGGCAACTTGTTATCAAGTGGTGAGTGGAAGAGGAAGGTATGCTACAGTTTATTGTACTATTCTTGTAACTCTTCCTTCATTTGTATATATTTTTTTCAAAACAATAAGTTAATGCAGTCTATAGCTTTAGGCAAAAACTCTTTTTCAAGAAAAAGGAACAGTGTGCAAAATTTATTTTAATTTTTTCTTAAATGAATTCCAAGACTTTTAAAAAATCTACGACAACACTTGTAAATATATACTTCTTTAGTTTTCAGATTATAGTAGGAGTTACCCTACTAATATTCTGAAATAAGAAGTTGCCTTTATGGATATACCAATATTTTTAAGCAGTGCCAATTTCTAAGTAATCTTTTCTTAACTTTGCTTCCGAAAATTTGAAAAATGTCCTTTCATCAAAAGCTATAGGCTGCATTAGTTTAGCTTTTCATTTTCCTTCCAAGACAACACCCTTGCCGCAATTTGGGGACAGAATCATCAACTGACCCACTCCACATCTTTATACTCGAAATCAAAGTTGTTCCCTTTAAAAAGCTCACTGGAGAGGAATATGTGGGATTTGATAAGCTCTGTTGATGGTTTAATAATTATGAATGTTTCACAGACATTATACATTAATCCCACATTTACTAGCATAAGAGCAAAACTAAGGAATGAAAGCAAATTGTTCTGCAGGGTCCATTTGTGCATGCCATTATCATGCCCCATAAAGAAAACAAAATCTTTCATAAAGGATCATTAGTTTTTTCATCTTATTTACACTATTAGATGTTGCCACAGAACATTGGAATATGCATTGGTGCAACCTGAATTGTCTGTCTGCTGTTCATTGAAATCTCTGTCCATTTTATGCATTGTCAAAAAGGAAAACAAAGAACCAAAAATACATGGTTTATTTTAAATTAGGAGATAAACTCTGATTTTCTGATGTGTTAAGTTGAAGCCTGGAGCATTTTCTCGCTAATCCAGTGTGAGTTTCTAACAGTGAGCTCTGTTTTAAGAGGAAAAAGGGTGATGTAGCCCAGTTAATAAGACGGCCTTGTTCATTTTCCCTGGGATGATGAAGCATTGCGTGGCTCCCTGGCTCAGTGAAAACAGGGTGGAAAAACGATCCAGGAATTGTAAATTGAGCATGCGGGGCTCTGCAACAGCTGTCCTGTATCTCTTTGGGAATAAGGAGTAGGGTTCACCATACTTGTCCAGTTTTCTTTGCACTTGCCACTGTTACTCTTAAATTATTTTGGGGGGTTGCTTTCATTTTGGCACATTTTTTGAAGAAAAATGTGTGCCTCCAAGTTCATGCCCAGGTTGTCTGTCCTGATCACACAAATGGCCTTGGAGGTTTCTTATGAAATCTGTGTGCAATCTCTCACTGCATTGCTTACCTAGCAGTTTTGAGTGCAAAGCCTTGAAAATTAATGAAGTGCCTTTCTATTTTCTGTTCCAGTCTGTGATCTGGTGCCTGGAGGATATTTTGACTATTTTTGACTTCACTTATGTTTTGTTGTTGTTGTTGTTACATAAAGTTTTTTATTTTTAAATTCTATGTCTAATATGTTATTTTTCTTTTATTCTGTCCATTCATTCAACATCCATGTTGACATAGTTTGCATATTTGTCCCTCCAAATCTCATATTGAAATTTGGCCCCTGATGATGAAGGTGGGGCATAGTGGAAGGTGTTTAGGTCATAGGGACAGATGCCTCATGTATAGCTTGGTGGCATCCCTGTGATAATGAGTGAGTTATTTTCCTATTAGTTTATGCAAGAACTGGCTGTTTTAGAGAGACTGACACTTCCCACCATCACTCTTGCTCCTTCTCTGGTCGGGTGACCTGCCTGCTCCCTCTTCACCTTCCACCATGATTTGAAACTCCCTGAGGCCCTCACCAGAAGCAGATGTTGGTGCCGTGCTTCTTGCACAACCTGCAGAACCATAAGCCAAATCAATCTTTTCTTTGTAAATTACCCATCCTCATGTATTCCCTTATAGCAGCACCAAACAGACTAAGACATATATGCATAGTTGTGTTCTTAAATTTTGTTGTTCCCAAGATAGTTCTTCCTTTCTTTTTTTCTTTTCCTTTATCCATGACTCTTCATTCACATTACAGATCAGGCACAGGACCTGGCTGAAGTATGTATGGGATAGGTAGGTTACTTTCTCTCCTCTTTCTATGCAGTCAATGTAAGAATCCCAGCACTTTGGGAGGCCAAGGCGGGTGGATCACCCGACGTCGGGAGTTCAAGACCAGCCTGACCAACATGGAGAAACACCGTCTCTACTAAAAATACAAAAAATTAGCAGGGCATGGTGGCACATACCTGTAATACCAGCTAATCGGGAGGCTGAGGTAGGAGAATTGCTTGAACCTGGGAGGCAGAGGTTGCGGTGAGCCGAGACTGCACCATTGCACTGCCGCCTGGGCAACAAGAGTGAAACTCCGTCTCAAAAAAATAAAAACAAAAAAATAGTGGAGGAAATGGGCAAGCATTGAAGCTGAGAATTTTCTACGGTCCCTTCCCTTCTCTGCAGTTCTGGGAGTGGCCACTAGGGACGCAGTTGTGCTGTTAATGGGTCTCAGAAGAGGCCTTGCCCAGGTGTGAACAAGGGAGGTTAGCGCACTATTACTTTTATGGCATCTAACTGTACGGTAGTATAAATTCACTGTGATAACTTCACTGAGCAAAGGTACAAATCGACAAATGGACAACAATTTCTATCATTGATTAATCAAATAGTCAGAAGTCGATAATCTGCTAAGAATATTCTGACCTCTACTGGCCCTCGGCAATAGATGGAGACAGAACAATGCCATCAATGTGAAGACAGCCTCCCACTCTCTCCTCTCCCACTTCTCCTACAGGCTTTGAGGATCACCAGGTTTCACTCCTTCATTCACAGGTCTCTGACGTTTGAGAGTCCGGAACATCACAAGATACCCATAATTTCCCATGACGTGAAGTAATAGAGATGAGATTTAGTAGGAGAGTAAACCTACCTCTCTGCTTGCTGTTGTATCCCCAGTGTGCAGTGGGGTGATTTCCCAGAGTCGGTGTGAAGTCAGTGTTTGTGGAATAACAGATATGAAGGAAAATAGACTCAGTTTTGTAAGAAAGAACAAGGTTCACTCGACATAACGAACAAGGGAGTTTCTTCTTGTGTGTGATAACTGAATTGTATAATTGGGAGGGAAAGATCACTGCTGTGTTAATTTCCTCCTGCAAACACACACAGTCTCTTCTTGCAAAACAGTGCAACCTGTCTCCCTTGCCTTTCTCATTGGAGAAAGCTTTTTGCATGCAGGTGTTTCCCCCAAAAGCAAGAACTCAAATAGAATACGTTTTGTAGGTTGGTGAAAGAGTGACTTATGTATAGGCAGAGGTGCAAAGAGACTGTTTTACTGGAAGTGCAGGATTGTAACTTTATAAAGAATTATAAAGTTTGTAGACTCATGGAATATTAGAACTGAAAATAACATTAGTGATTCTAGTTTCATCTTTTCCATGTTTTTAGTTGAGGAAGCCTTTTCTTTGGAGAAATGGTAAAGTTAACCACAATCACATTCATTTTGAATATTTTTGTTATTAAGTAACATACGCTAAATTTATGACATTTATTTTTCAATAAGAGCTGTGACATTGATACTCTAATCAAGAAATTAATGTAATAACTTACATTAAGCTGAATTTCTTGCATTTAAAATTTTATCTATATGTGAATGTATTTTTAATGTCACTTTTTATCAGCCCTTTTAACTTGAGGGCTGTGGGAAAATTCCTATTTATCTATAAAATAAAGATTATATCATATCTGTTCTGCTTTCCTCTTTTCTCAAAAGTGAGTCAGAAAATGTGAAAGCATTTTATGAACTATAAAGCAATATACCATGAAGAGAATGACACAAATGAATATAATTTTATTATTCTCCCAAATCCAACCTTTATTATTAACACCTATGGGAACAGTGCAAAAACAAGTCTGATACATTTTTTAAAGGTCAGGAATTTTGTAGAATTTTTAAACTATAAAAGAAACATGACATGATTTTCTCAAACATAAATTTCTTGCTTTTATTAGAATACATGAATAAGCACCATACTGATAACCTATGGGTCAGATTTGGCAGGCTTCCAAATTAACCCATCTGGCAGAGGTCTTGTGATCCATGGCAACATCCGGTCCCTGGGTGGGGTCTTATCAGGAGTTCCTCAGATTGTTGACATACTGTTTACTATGTAACTTACACTGAAAAGTATCCTGATTTGTTTCAGAATCAGGAAGTCTGGCTGATGGTCTTGTACACAGACCCTTTAACCTGTATGTTGCAGTCTGTAGCCAATGATTGTAACTTCTGTAACGTACCCGCCAGTGAAAAACGACAGCTCTGGTGTGAGGAGTTCCCTTCCTTCTAAACTTTCTTATAAAGGCCTTCCACCTCTGGAACATACCCAACTTTTGTTGACTTCCTGAGTCAGTCCTCACATTTAGTTTCCAAGAAACCTTTGTCAATCGTCACGTTTGATTTCCAACAAATGTTTATCAAACCGGTATCAGGCCTCGACAGTCTTAGTTTTGGTCAACAATACTAACATTTTGAGCAACTTATTATTTAAAAATTGATATATATTAATTCCTAAAAGGAGGACTTATTACAGTGTAACAACCAGTCATGTATAAAATGCCACTAGAATATTCCTCATAAAAATACTATCTCTGTTGAATTAATAAATTCTCCCTTCAATTTCATAGTCTTTTTTTTTTAGAAGCATAGCCTATATAGCGTTTATTTCTATATTGAACCTGGCTATACTCATTAGTGATTTCATAGTGCTTTCTTTGTTATTTTAGAGTGCAGGGGGCAGTTTTAGATTCTTTTTTTTTGTTTGTTTGAGACGGAGTCTCGCTCTGTCATCAGGCTGCAGTGCAGTGGGCCAATCTCAGCTGACTGCAACCTCTGCCTCCTGGGTTCAAGCGATTCTCCTGCCTCAGCCTCCTGAGTAGCTGGGACTACAGGTGCATGCCGCCATGCCTGGCTAATTTTTTGTATATTTAGTAGAAACGGGGTTTCACCGTGTTAGCTAGGATGATCTCAATCTCTTGACCTCGTGATCCGCCCACTTCGGCCTCCCACAGTGCTGGGGTTACAGGTGTGAGCCACCTCACCCAGCCTAGATTCTTTTAGAGAAAAATCAAAGCATTTCTAATAAAGTTTGCTTTCTGTTCTAGTTTTGTTTGGCTTCAGAATGCATGTATAAAATTTTTATAACTTCACAGAGTATGAAGGCATTGTGCTCGGGCCTCGTTTCTGTTTTTCAGTGTGATTACATATGAGCTCTTTCATAGAAATTTTACTAAGTAGTGGTCACTGTGTGTGAAATGCTGCTTATTCACTGAGTTCATGTGTGTGTCTGGTTTTCCTCATCATTCTGAACCCACTGCATATTGGCATTTGCCATTGGGGTGAACGTACACAGGCCTTTTGGGAAACCAGGCTCAGGCCCCAGGCTCTGAGTCAGAGGAACAAAGGGGAGATGTCATTCCCTCACCTCCTCCCAGTGAAAAATAGAAAGTGAAATCTCCTTTGGATACTTGGCAAGGATCTAGCAGTTATTTCTCCAGTGTGAAAGAAAAGAGTCTTGGAAAAAGACCCTTTGCTAATCAATATACAAGTAGGAAAGAGTAGAGAGGTGTGACATCTTGGGCATTAGGGTTCACGGCCTGAACTCCTTTTGAATTCTACTTTCTGTTTTATTTTCTTGGAATTTATGGCTGCAAATGACTGTGCTTTTGGCAACTGAGGGCCTGATGAAAGTTCTTCCCTTGCGTATGTAACAAGTGACACTCACGGACTGACATCAACTTCCAAAAATATGAAGAATTTTAGAGAAAAAAAACCACTCTTCAATGAGGACAAGTTGCAATTTTGTACACAGAGGAAACAACAATAACTTTGTGTTTTAGGTATTAGGGAGCTTACCCACGTTCAGGTCATTTTACCAAATTTAAATTTTTTTTTTTTTTTTTGAGACGGAGTCTCGCTCTGTCGCCCAGGCTGGAGTGCAGTGGCCGGATCTCAGCTCACTGCAAGCTCCACCTCCCAGGTCTACGCCGTTCTCCTGCCTCAGCCTCCCAAGTAGCTGGGACTACAGGCGCCCGCCACCTCGCCCGGCTAGTTTTTCTGTATTTTTTTAGTAGAGACGGGGTTTCACCGTGTTAGCCAGGATGGTCTTGATCTCCTGACCTCGTGATCCGCCCCTCTCGGCCTCCCAAAGTGCTGGGATTACAGGCTTGAGCCACTGCGCCCGGCCAAAAAATTTTTAATAACCAAAAATTTACCTTAGAAATGTAGTATTTAGCCATCATTCCTTTTGTCAAAATATTGTTTTTCTGGCTGGACACAACGGCTTATGCCTGTAATCCTAGCACTTTGGGAGGCTGAGGCAAGAGGATTACTTGAGACCAGAAGTTTGAGACCAGCCTGGGCAATAGAAAAAGACCTTGTCTTTATAAAAAAGTGAAAAAAAAAAACATAAATAAATAAAAATTTAAAAATAAATAAATAAATAAATTAGCCAGCTGTGGTGGTTTGCACCTGTGGTCTGAGTGACTCAAGAGGCTTAGGCAGGTGCTTCCCTTGAGCCCAGGAGTTTGAGGTTACTGTGAGCTATGACTGCACCACTGCATTCCAGTCTGGTCGACAGGGCAAGACTCTGTCTTTAAATAATAGTAATAATAACAACAACAACAATACTAATTTTAAAATGTTGTTTATCTCCATGTTTAAATGCCAAACTAGTTAGCATTTTTAATTTGATTTAAATTAACCTGTGCTTGGGATCTTTTACCGTTACCAATTTGCATTTGAAATACATAATAGAGTTATTCTAATAATCCAAAAATTGACTTTTTAGATCTTTCCCTTCTTTTTTTGATTTATAAATAGCATATTAATTCCCATTTAAGGTGTGGATGCAGCGTGGCTGTCAGCATATTCCATTTTAGTAATTTCACTATTGATTTATTTCTTTTGTAAAAGTTACAAAAGCAATGGTTATTTGCTTTCGCAAATAGAAGTGACTCAGAATGGTAAATACTTACAGTTCATGTTTTCTTCCCTGCCTGACAGTGTGAGTCAGAAATTAAATAAATCGGTGATGAAATTCCTAGAATGGAATCTGCTGGGACCCACACTGTGTCCACACTCCATTCTCTCCTCTACA